TTTGTGATAGTATCTCAATAACTATCTGATCAATTTTTTTTATTCAAATTCTATGAATTAATAAAATTCAAATAAAAAAAATTTCATTGAATTTGGTCAGGTAGTTGTTGAGAAACCTTTGATCAAAATTTAAAAAAATTAAATTATTAATAAAAATAATAGTATAGCAAAATTTTTTGTGAATTTTGAGCAAAGGTATCTCAATAACCATCTGATCAAATTCAATGAATTTTTTTTTGTTTGAATTTTACTGATACATAGAATTCGAATAATAAAAAACTCATTGAATTTGGTCTGGTGGTTGTCAAGATAAATTTGATTAAAATTTAAAAAAAATAATCTATATAATTTAATTATATACGTGATTGCACTGTCTTTATACTAGGGTGTTCAGAATTATGCGATGCGATGCTATGTGCATAATTGCCTATTTTTTCACATCATATATGCTTCGCATAATTGGGCTAAAAAAAGCATTTAGATCATATGGCAAGAATGTGATTGGTAGATCTGGTACTGATGATAAAATTAATTAATTGCTTTATTTAGTAGTTAATTATAGCTAAAATGTAAACTAATGTAATGCCAAACAAAGCTAATAAAAGCCACAATTTAACCAATTTCAAAAAAAAAATTCAAGATGATTTGAGTTGTAGTATTTTTTATAAAACAAATGAAGCATTAATTTTTTTCACTGTTTGTGAGAAAGTTTGATTTAAAACATTAAATAAATAAAAAAAAAAAAATCAAAACATCAATTACTATGGTTACAGCTACAGAACGGCTTACCAGAAACCCTTCTTATAAAAATGATTTTTATATAAATGGAGGAAAACTTTTCTGTTGGTTTTGCCAAAATACAGTCAATTATGAAAAAAAATTTATGATAGATAACCATTTGGTATTCTCTAACCATCAATTAAAAAAAAATCAGCACTTGAAAAACCTCAAAAAGTTTCTTCTCAACTTGCGATTACTTCTTTTAGCAAGTCTTATGATGAAAGAGAGCAATTCGTTCTTGGGTTGGTTAAAATCTTCGCTGAAGCTAACATACCTTTTGAGAAAATATGATATTTTCAACCTTTTTTACAAGAATATTGTAAAAATGGTGGCACAGTTCCTGGTGCTAATCAAATCCATAGGAAGTATTTTCCGATTTTATTTCAACAACAAGAACAAAAACTCAAAAATTTGTTAGAAGAGAAAAAATTTGTATTATGATAGATGAAATAATGGATTCTTGTAGCAGGCAGTAGTAAACATTCTATTTAGCTATTTTGATCAAACTAATTTGGTTAAAACGGATTTTTTACAAGTTGTTAACAAGATCACGATTTCTCAACTTGTTATTTTAACATTGTCATATTATGATATTTTTTTTGAAAATGTAATTTTATTAATTACCGATAACGCTTCGTATATGTTAGCTGCGTTTAATATTCTTTCCCCTTTAATACCTCAAATTAGACATAATACCTGTTTTGCTCATATATTCAATTTGGTAGAAGAA